TTTTCAATAATATTTCTTCTTCTGTTGGAGTATCTTTCTCTTTCCATTTTTGAGCGAAGGCTATTTGTGCCACTGTTACTACATGCAGTAGTAAATAATTTATGTCTTTCTTATATTTTCTTTCTATAATTCCCAATAAGAAAAATTCCAGTTTGGCTTCTATATCTATTTGCAAAATTTCTTCCAACCATTTCTTTAATAAGTTCCAAAATTTTTGTGCCTTTGGGCATTGCCACCACATGTGGTAGTAATTCCCAATGGTCTCTTCACACTTCCAGCAAATCGAGGATTTCCCCTCCCACCCTCTCCTCTCATACCAAAATATCCACAGCAAATATGCAAAAATTCCTTCATTCTTCAGGACCTATTTTTCTGAGTCTAAAATGTAATATGCCACTTCTAAGCCATGTAGTTAGGTAAGGTCAAATTATCCAATATTATGGCTAGGTTCAAGCCTAGCCCAGAGTGGCTGGCTCACAAATTCTGGGGATTGAAGTCCACTGGCCATAAAATTGCCATGTTGCCCACCCCTACCCATCAAAGGTAGTGATGGAAAGGGACATGGATTACCTCTTTTTAAAAACCTTATCTTTAATTTTTCTAACATCCTCTCTTCCTTACCAACTATATTTTTATTTCCAGGGAAAGAAGTTTTCTGGGTAGGAACAAATTAGATATTCTAGAAATCCAAGAAGGGGCTTCTGGAACTTAGGCCAAGGACTGTAGGAAACTTGGTAAAGGACTATGAGAGGTCCCAGACCCCTTGGTTGTTCCACATAGATATGATTTTCAAATCTCCTGACTACAGGGCAAGTACCATATTTTCCGGCGTATAAGACGACTTTCTAAAGTGTGGAAATCGGCACCGAAGTCGTCTTATATGTCTTATACGCCGAGTTGTCTTATACGTTGAGTTGTCTTATACGCCAGAAATTACGGTAGTTTCTGGCATATAAGACGACTTTCTAAAGCGTGGAAATCGGCACCGAAGTTGGGGGTCATCTTATATGCCGAGTTGTCTTATACGCCAGAAATTATGGTAGTTTCTGGCATATAAGATGACTTTCTAGGCATGGAAATTGGCACCGAAGTCGGGGGTCGTCTTATACGCCAAGTCGCCTTATATGCCAGAAAATACGGTAAGGCACGTGTATCAATAAGCACACTGAATGTAGGCAGATCTGACTAAACCATTTTGAACAATGGATTCTTTTTCCTTTGAAAACATATTTAAAACACATTTGTCTCCTATGCATATTCTATACTGCCAGACATACTATCTAAAACAGTGGTTCTCAACCTTTCTAATGCTGCGACCCCATAATACAGTTCCCCATGTTTTGGTGACCCCCCAACCACTTATACATCACCGGGTGCCAGGGGCGTGGCCAAAGAAAAGGGGAAAAAATGGCAGACAGCCTTGTTTGGCGACCCCCCGTGAAATGGTCGTTCGACCCCCAATGGGGTCCCGACCCACAGGTTGAGAACCACTGATCTAAAAGGAATACCCTTCCGGGATCTGGAGGACTTACAAGCAAAGGAAAATGTTTTCTAAGGAACCTGATTAAACCTTATTGTAGATCATTCTAACCATGCATTTTCTTTAAGAAACTGATTCCTCTTAACTGGGTATCTGCTTCATCTTCCGAGCACAATCTCATGAGTAACACTGACTGGGATCGCCACCGCCAGGTTAGGCCATAATCTTTTAATTTCAGTTTTCAACTGTGATCTTCAGTTCTTTGTCTTCTATTCTACTATCTCCTGGTATTGCCACATCAATTATCCCTACTTTCTTCTTTTCAACCATGTGCAATTATATCTGCTGTGTTATGAGCCAAGACTTTTATCAGTCTGTATTTAGAACTTGCATAATAATTTAACCTGCCTATTTTCCACTACATTTTCAACTCAATGCTCTCACCAATGTTTTATTATTGGCATATGGTAATTTTTACAGATTTTCATTGAATTATTTTGGTAATTGTGTTATGTTATTTTTTAAAGTCAGTTTGTGTGATCTTCTTGCAATCTCTTAGCACTAATTAACTATATAACCTACCATTTGTTCTATTTTTTTCCACAATCTGCCCTTTGAATCATTTGATGATTTTGTTTAATTCTGGCTTTGATTGCATCAAGCCTTCTTCTTCTTCTTCTTCTTCTTCTTCTTCTTCTTCTTCTTCTTCTTCTTCTTCTTCTTCTTCTTCTTCTTCTTCTTCTTCTTCTTCTTCTTCTTCTTCTTCTTCTTCTTCTTCTTCTTCTTCTTCTTCTTCTTCTTCTTCTTCTTCTTCTTCTTCTTCTTCTTCTTCTTCTTCTTCTTCTTCTTCTTCTCCTTCTCCTTCTCCTTCTCCTTCTCCTTCTCCTTCTCCTTCTTCTTCTTCTTCTTCTTCTTTGTCTTCTAATGTTCCAGTTGTAAGCCATTGTCAGGTTTTATCTTTATCCACTTTTCCCTCAATCTTTTGTAAAAATTAACCCTGTGATGCTTTTCCTTGCCAGCATTCTGTTTGTGCTTTTACTGTATTATGTTATTTCAATATTCATGTTTTATTTCCTGTACATTCCAATAAGTTCCAATTTTAAGTTGCACCAATGCTTGTTCTTGGTTGTGTTTTACACAATCAGCCAATGCATGCTTTTCTTCTTCAACACTTTGTTTGACTTAAATTTCTGCCTCCATTACTGCAGGATAGAAATTATCAATATCACTGCAGGGTTGTAATGCACAGTGAATAGTCATCAGTTTTCTTGTTTTTCAGATTATTATTATTATTATCATCATCATCATCATCATTATCACCATTATTATTATTTGTGGATTTTTATATCTTAACTATTAATCTTAGGGCTGGAACTTGCTTAATGAATCAGGAGCTTCCTCATCAAACTATGTTCTTGATGATCACTTTACAGAATAACATTAACAACAGGCTATAAAATGGTCCTCAATAATGATGCCATAATTTCTGAATATTAAATATGACACAAGATGTATCTTTCATATGCAGCAAAAGTTGGCATTAATCCTGTGTTTGTTTTTTAATTTCTCAAGAAAACTGTTCTAATCCGGTATTTTCACGTGCTATTTTTCATTTTATGAACAAATTGATAAGCAGGCAGAGTCTTTTAGCACACTGGATTAATGTTATTTATTCTCTTTGAACTTGATTAAAAAGCTGTCAAATGGAAGTCTACATTTTGTTGGTAGAATACTTTTACAAAATATGGTAGGGGACGTTATAGCTGAAACCATACATTTAGAAATAAAATGATTTATTATCCTATTGTTTGCCCATGACAACTAAAACTATCAATGTATAAATTGATTCACGTCTAGCCAAATAATTCTAAAGATATACAAAAAGCTTTTAGAAAAAGTTTTTGTTTGAAAGAACTTAATATAGTCCACTAATAAAACAGCTCTGGGAGCATAATATTAATTGGAAAAAACCTACAGAGCACAACAAACTAAGGAAACCATAAAGGTTTACAAAAGAGATGGCAACTTAAAATGAGCAGTGTGTTACTTTGGCCATTGGTGCAGAGTTGTACTCAAAGCACTGAAATTCAGTAATTAATTTCAATCTTGATGCAGTCTATAGATTGATCATCCTGATAATCATCTTCCTCCCCAAATGGAATGGGATACTCAACAAAAGCTACTGGGGCTCAAAACTACTGATGTTATTATGGTAAAAAAATATTGATACTTCTTACTGCCCTGATGTAAGCTAAAATGTTAGCTGTTACCATATTTTGTTAAGTTCACTTTTACTATTCCACCACTAGCTCTCCTAGCATCTTTTCTCACATTTCCATTGGTGGAACTCCTCAATAAACCAAAAACTACTCCAGCATCAGTAGATAGGAAAAAAGGCCAGTTGGGACAACTATGTGTGACATATAGAGTCCTGACTACCTTTGAATTCCAGAAATGGTTAGCATTGCCAGGTAGATTGCAGGGAAGATACCTGGCTGAACATCCAAACCACCTATCTGAGGTAGGTGATTTTAACTGTTCCTCCAAGTTTGATGGAGTTTGCATTTGAACATCATCCAGACCTCAATCGGAAAAGAAGTAGTCTGATCACTAGTAAAGAACTAATTGCAAAGTCCTCGATTTCCAGATCTTGAATTAACAATTATGACATGAAGCCCAGTTCTAAGTAATGACTTAGAGTCAATGAATTCCTGACTCTTCTCAGATCCCCCCAGGGTACTGAGGCTTAAGTCCTCTAAGTACTAATAACCAATATCAACTTATCAAGGAAATCCAAGAGCTCACAAAAGAATTCTCCTAGGCAGATTCCCTAGCTTGATCCTACAGCCCAACCTCAAATATGGGCATTCACATTGTTCAGAGTACAACCCCCAATCACTGCCACAGTATACCAAAGAATCATTACCATTTTGGTTTATTTATTTATTTATTTATTTATTTATTTATGAGACTTATATACCGCTTTAAGTGCAAGCACTCTCTAAGCGGTGTACACCAGTAAGCAATGTATATATATATTTACATTGCCCCCAACAATCTGGGTCCTCATTTTACCTACCTCGGAAGGATGGAAGGCTGAGTCAACCTTGAGCCGGTGAGATTTGAACCGCTGACCTGCTGAACACAGTCAGCTAAAGTGGCCTGCAGTACTGCACTCTAACTGCTGCGCCACCTCGGTTCCTTTACCTCGGAGTCAGGGCTACTGAAGAATATGAAATTTGGGAAAAAATATCCAAAGAGGAGAGTATTCCCACTCTTGCTCAACCAAGTTTTGATAGTACATGTCAGGTTCTCTCGCTCATCTATGACCAGTACTTTGTCACAAATAGGTCTGATATTTATCAATGGCCTCATGAGGTCCAGGCTTTCAACTATCTAACGTGCCAGATCCAGGGGTACAGTCAACTCTCGGCTATAAACAAAGATATGCACAAAAGGCAAAATGTACTGGCAAAGACCGAGTTGTTTAAAGAGTTAATTCAGAGTACATATAAGCAAATGTTGACAATATATTTTTATTTCAGTGTTTGGAAATGTAAAGACAAAACCATCACTAAGTTTTCACAAAATGAGGCATCTGTCACTAGAAAGAAAAAGAAATATTTCAAAAAGATGTTTACAGAAATGTAAAAATATTAGGTATCAAGACAGATGTGAACATATTCAGCAACATTCTCAGTCTGTCAGTCAGAGCTGAAGATCTTGGTGTATTCACTTAGCATCAGCTCAATCAATTGGTTTTGATACAGCATGTGGATCACCATGGATGCTGTCTCTTTTTCAGGTCGAAGGAGAGTTGGTCCAAAAACAATTCCTAAACTCTGGGGTGACATAAGATTCATGTTCTCCTTGGCTGCTATCCTATTGGAAAAAAGAAAAAAAAAGTTAGAAGGAAGGAAAGAAAAGATAATCAAAACATGGATTATGACCATACTGCTATTTTTCCACTGATACTTTAATTACACCCTGACTTTTTGTTTAAATGTTAGAGAGAATTAAATAGAAATGGGAAAGGGGGTGTTATTAATATTTTGGATCCAAGATGACAGAATTAAGACAAAATAATTTCTGCTTAGCAAGCACCAGAACTTTCCCATATATTCTTTGTTGTTGTATTCCATCTTTATGTGCTTATGGGTTTGCAAAACCAGAATTTTTCTCCCCAAGTTTTCTTTTTCTTTCCTCTTAATACTTTAGGAATTACACAAGATGTTAGTGTATGGTGAAATGCTTTTGGGTATTGCAATATGCTTTTTAAAGAACTGAAGTGCATTAATGGGTGCACCAACCAAAGCTGAACAAAGAGCTTCCTAACCATAGTCTTTACCTATTAATGATGTAGAAGCTGTGAATCTAGGACAGGGGTGTCGCAATGTCATGTGACGTGTTGTGACATATCACAACCTTTTTTGCCATTGCCGGCAATGGAGTGGCATGGTTTTGCCATGACGCATCCAGCCCATGGGCTGGCAGTTTGACACCCCTGATCTAGGAGAATCCCCAACGCCATCCAAAGTCCTTCAGAGCCAGTGCAGGAGCAAAGACCAAGTTGATGATTTTGGGGTCAAGAACAAGTCTTGAACCTACAGTAACCTGACAGATGACCTTTCCCAGCAGTTTCATAGACCAGATATTAGCATAGAGTCAAGTTTTGTGGCACTCAATATGTTTATTAGAATAAAATGCAAGACTAAATGCAATTTCTGCATCCTTTAGGTGCTCTGAAGTAGATGAGTAATTTTAGAATGTAGTAGTTTAAAATGAAGCCTTTGTGTTTTCAATTAATCACCCTTCATGATGAGGCCATGAAAGATCAAAAGGTCTGTATTCCCAATGTCTTCTCTTACTTGCTGTGTTGTGAGTTCATGGAAGTGGAGCAAGGTTGCTGTGATTTACTGAACTGAGATTCCTTCAGGTGAAAAACTGGATTTCTCTTTGTTTTTCTCCAACTACCAATCCCAAGGCTCCCTCAACCTTCTGGGAGTGCACAAGAGGGTATAAATTGAGAAGAATTACATTCTGTTAAAGAATATTCTTTCATCACTAATAAATGACAAATGCATACAAATCTAGAATGTACACCTAATATTTTGGGTGTAATCTCTCTTACTCCCTCTCTATTGAAATCAGAATATCTAGACCAGAAGTCCCCAACCTTTTGGGCACCAGGGACTAGTTCCGTGGAGAAAGGTTTTTCTACAGACCGGAGAGGGTGTGGTTTTGTGTGCTGCCTGCATCCCATGGATGGGGCTTTGATTGTAGACCAGTGTAGACCAGTTGCTGGCACACTGTGGCCTGGTACCGGTCCACAGACTGGGGGTTGGGGACCCCTGATCTAGACTATGTTCACTACTGGCAAAATACAGTACATTTGGATAGAATTAGGCATAAATATTGTTGACATGCCTGCCTGTATTAACATCACTACAGTATATGCATTGCAAATTAGCAACTGTGAATAATTCTAAGTATGGATTATTTGGTCTTGCTTCAGTTTGGTTTTGAGCCAGTGTACACTATGAAGACAGCACTGATTTGATGCCTTTTGGCAGAACAGGGAAATGGGTGGTGCATCCATCCTTGTGCTCCTTGATCTCTCAGCAGCAACCCACCCTCATGAGGGGTGAATACCTAGGTCATACCATGGATTTACTTGATTATATTGCTGGGTTTCAGAAAACTGTAAATGCTATAAAGAATTGACTGCATGTGAATGACCTGTTGACTTCCCTTGAAGATATATACAAATAAGGCTAGCTTCTCCTCCAAACCTTGAAATACATATTTCAGAACTTTCAGTAAATGGCAGAAGATGCATCATCTGTTTTATATCTTACAGAAAGATCTCTATCATAGTACTGGGCATAGTAGTCATGCACAGAGCATGATCTTATGATATAAGTTTCTCATATTTCAAGCTTGCCACATTCTCTAAATTCAAACTCTTAATTTAGTGTTGTTGTTTGGGTGTTTTTTTGTTGAATATGAATAGGGAGATTTATTGAAATACATTCTAATGCTTGTATCTTTGGTGTCTGTTACAAAAAAATAAACTCCATATGGCACTAATCAAGGTAATTATTAGTTACTTTAAATATTACTTACTTAAAAAAATAGCATCATTATAATAAACAACATATTCTCCATAGATTATTTTGTGCAGCATAGTAATAATAACATTGATCTACTAATCAGAATAGAGATAGACAATTTACCATTTTTTTTCATTTTTGGTGTATGTGTGCGTTTGTGATGTGTGCATTTTATTCCATTTGCCTTGCATGTTTGTAATATGCAAATTCCAAGGTACAACTTTCCAGATGTTGCAGACAACATCCTATGTAAATGTCCTTTTTCATCAGCAAAGATTTTGAGGGTTGTTTTTGGAATTCTATAAAGAATTTTTTTTTTCCATTTTAGGAATGACATCAAGACATTTGTCTTGATCATTTCCCATTTTGTAGAAAGTACCGAGCATAACTCTAACAGAGAAGGCTTGAATAGATTACCATCAATACAATCAATATTTCAAAACACTCCATTGCCAAGTAAGTAGGCTTTCTAATACTAATAATCATCAGTACTCTGAACTGTGTCTGGTGGATCAACAGCAGTTGGTATAAAAAGGCAGTTACATTTTCCAAGCAATCTTACTGTAAACCTTATGAAGAAAAGAAATAATGGATTATAGGGGCACATCACACAATTTATCCTACCATTTCAAACTCCTCAGTAGAAGTGTATCCCAAATGTAGATGTACTTAAAGCACATCTGTTGAGGTCAATGTGACTTAAAGAATGAATCTAAGTACCATTGATTTCAGCAGGACTGATCTACTTTTAAGTTTACCTAGAAAAGTCCCCTAAAAATTGGCAGATCTGTTTTTCAATGTCATTAAAATTTTAGAAAGTGAAGCTTCTTTATTAGACAAATGAATAATCACAGGAAGAAATTTCTCTTGGTCTAACTTCTTTTATGTGACTGTTTAAATAGAAAATTGTCTAGCAGTATCACTGTATTCACAGCAATCTAAAGGAATTCACTACAACTTAAATTTTAACTTTGACCTGCTTGCAATAGTTTTTTTTTAATTAAAATGTGCAATCTTTTTTTAGCAATAATTTATCCTTTGACTAATTTTTTAAAACTACTTCAGGCTCAGAGAAAGCTTCTCTGGATTATTTAAAATAGAAAATAATGATTCCTTGAAAATATTTCTGAATCTATAAACCAAAACTATTGTTTTGAGAACGTCATCAACAAAGAGCCAGTTTGATATAGTGCGGGGGTGTCAAACAGCCGGCCCACAGGCCGGATGCATCATGCCAAAACCGTGCCCACCCCAGCTCCGGCAATGGGAAAAAAGTCACGATATGTCGTGACACGTGATGTGATGTGGCGAGTTTGACACCCCTGGTATAGTGGTTAAGGCAGAGTTCCCCAACGTCTTTGACTTTGGGGACAGACGGAAAGGGGGAGAGGGGATGTTCCCATGTGACTGATGGACACGTGCTCTGTCTCATGTGTGCAGCTCATTTTGAGCAAGCAGTGGGCAATCATGCTCACCGCTCGTGCAAATAGAGCACATGTGCCTACTCGCCCACCAGTTCTGTGGCCTAGTTACAAATGGCTCAAGGTCCGGAGGTGAGCCATGGCCTGGGGGTTGGAGACCCCTGGGTTAAGGCACTGGGCTAGAAAACAGGAGGCAGTGAGTTCAATTCTTGCCTTAGCGGTGAAAGCCAGCTGGGTAACCTAGGCCAGTCATTCTCTCACATGGTTGTGTTATGGAGAAAATAGGAGGAGGAAGGTGTATGGCTATGTTCGCAAGTCTTGAGTTATTTGTAAAACTAATAAAGGCAGAATACAAATTAAATAAGTAAATACATTCAGACATAGCATTTTCCAAGCAAAGAACTGCAGTTAGCATTCCTTATTAAAAAAACAATGACTTGTACTTTCATATTAGAAAAATCTTTTATAACAATTCTAATAAAATCACATCTAATACCGCATAAAAGCCCTCTCCAGTAGTGAAACAGAATGGAAACAATGTGGTGTGATATGTGATGCCATTTTCCTGCCACATAATTTTCTCCAAATACTCGTTCAGATATAGGCTCACATCTCCTGCACCTTTCCTGTTTGTTCCAGTTGTCCTCTACCCTCCCCACCTAACAGTCACAGTATATTAGTCTAGTTAATTTTAATGGTGGCCCTTTATGCCACTCTCTGCAATATTGTCGAGAAGTGATGTGGGAGGAGAATGTACTAGAGCGTAACAACTGTTGCTGCTGAAGGACAATTGAAGGGAAGGGACAATTGATTGAAGAATACTGGTTATTACCATTATTTCTGGATTAAGAATGCCTGTGAACTTGTACTGTGCTTGATTACTTTGGGCTGCTTGCATATATTATACTTCTTGGATACTCATTGAATTAATTCTGTTAGAAGTCCCATGAAAGCAAGCTGCAGAAAAACCTATTCTTGACTCAAGTGACTTCCTTCCTTCCTTCCTTCCTTCCTTCCTTCCTTCCTTCCTTCCTTCCTTCCTTCCTTCCTTCCTTCCTTCCTCCCTCCCTCCCTCCCTCCCTCCCTCCCTTCTCTCTCTCTCTCTCTCTCTCCCCCCCCTCTCTCTTCACTAGAAAATTTACAGTGTGGATGCTCTGAACAGATAGCAATGTGGAGACATGGGAATTAGCGTAGCAGCAATGACAACACATCACACAGTCTTGCACTGCTAGTTTTGCCCAGCTTTTCCCAGCTAGCACTGGGGTGGGGTGGAGGATGTAATGATAATTAATTGGCTATTGTATTGCACAGGTTAGAATAAATTATTCACACATCCTAGAATTACAGT